GACCACCTGTGAAGATCTAGAGGGGACCCCCATGGAAGCCTGAGAGTGCAGCCCCTGTGGAAATCTGAAGGCCGAGCCCCTCTGTGGAGGACTGCGAGGGGGCTCCCGGGAAACCGTGAGAGGGGAGACCCTGTGGAGGGCTGAGAGGGGGCTCCCGTGGAACCGTGAGAGGGGAGACCCTGTGGAGGGCTGAGAGGGGACTCCTGTGTAACGGTGAGGGGGGAGACCCTGTCACTCTGCAGCCTTCGGGGTCCTCACCATGCCGGTTCTGTCCCTTCCTTAGCCCTGGGAGAGCCCGGCCTGGGAAAGCAGAGGGTTAGCCCAGCACTCTCATTCCCAGCGTCCCAGAAGGATGGCAGTCGGTCAGCAGAAGGAACCTGCTCTGCTCAGAAGAGGGAAGTGTCCAGGTATGGCCAGCAGTCAAGGTGAGGACCAAGGATCAGTAGTGATGGTACTGCTGACCATGGCAATGAAGGGCCCCACGGACTCTGTCTGACCCTCTGTTCCCTGCCACAAAAAGCCGTACTCACCACGGGTCAGGGTGGCATCCGCCTCATGCTGCTATCAGGTTGGGTGGCATCTTTGACAGGGTGTCCTAGGGAAGAGAAGGCAGGTTGTGTGGAGTAGGCCATGAGGAAAGGTGGACAATCTCAGGAAGGCATGAGGGTCTCCTTCATCCCAGAAGAGTCAGGACCCAAGCCCTGATGCCACCTCGGAAGGTCATCTGTCCTCAGAGTTTCAGACAGGTGAGGGCATCGGATTGAGGAGGTGACGCCAAGTCACTAGAGAGGACAGCTGTATTGTACCAAGTGACAAGGTGAGGCCGCTGAGTGAACCCTGAGGCGACCACCACGCCACAACTATATGGACGTCACAGAGTCCTCCCTGCTCCTGTCACCGCACAGCTTGCAAACTGAGTTAGCCCTCAATTCCTCTCACAGGGTCAGGGACCTGAGAGTTGAGGGTCATGGCTGGAGGCAGGTGCGCTCAGGTTAGCAGAGAGGAGTGGGGACACAGCCATCGTCAGTGTATGTTGAGGACCCTGAATGTGGGGACCACAAGTCCACAAGCTCACTAACAGCCCTGAGGGGCCGGGTCCCTTCCTTCTTCTGGGCCTCAGCGAACAGGCCTACAGGGGTCCAGGAGACCTGGGGGCTTCTGCAACAGACCTGTAGGTCAGCCTTTGTCAGGGCCATCGAGGTGCGTTTTCAGGTAAGGTTGCTCAGCCTATCACTCTCTGTGTCCCACAGGCCTGCAGTGCCTGACAGGAGTCACCATGTCCCTTGGTCAGAAGAGTCACCATTGCACTGTTGAGCAAGTCCTTCAAGCCCAGAGGGAGTCCCAGGACCTGGCAGGGGCACAGGTGCCTAGTGTTGAGGAGGAGGTGGCCCTGAAGGCCTTGTCCCCCTCCTCAGGAAATGCCACCTCCTCTGCTACTGCCCTGGTCCATGGCTCCCTGGAGGAGGAGTCTGGTGTAAGGGTGCCCAGTGCACCCCAGAGCCTGCAGGGGGCCTGGTCCTCTTCCACTGCCATCGTTGCCTTTCCAATACCCATCTCAGCTGAGGGGGCCAGCCACCAGGTAGAGGAACGGGCCAACGCCTCGCGTTCCTGGCAGAAAAAGCAGCTGGGCCAGAAGGTGCTTCATTTGGTGAGGCTCCTGTTGTTTAAGTATCAACGGAAGGAGCCCACCACGAAGACTGAAATAACGGCCCTGGTCACTCACAAATATAGGGCCCAGTTCCCCGTGGTCTTCAGGAGGGCCGCAGAGATCCTGCAGCTGGTCTTTGAGGTCGACGTGAGGGAAGTAGGCCCCATCGGCCACACCTACGTCCTGGTCACCACACTGGACCACTCCCACCACAGGATGCCATCTGGTAGTGCTCTGAGCCTGCAGAAGTCCAGTAGCCTGATCCTGGTCCTGGGAGTGATCTTCCTGGAGGGCAGCTGTGCTCATGAGGAGAAGGTCTGGAATGTGCTGGGCATGATGGGCATCTATGTTGGGAGGGAGCACTTCATCCACGGGGAGCCCCGCAGGCTCCTCACCAAACATTGGGTGCAGGAGAAGTACCTGCAGTATAGGCGGGCCCCCAACAGCTTTCCCGTCCATGGGGAGTTTCTGAGGGGTCCAAGGGCCCACATGGGAACCACCCAGATGAAAGTCCTGGAGGTTGTGGCCAAGGTCAGTGGCACTGAGCCCAGCTCCTTCCCTTCCTCACTGCACTGAGGCCCTGAGAGAAGAGGCAGGGAGAGGTGGAGCCCTAGTGGCAGGCAGGGCTCACACCAGAGCCTTGGGCTCTATAGGTTCCTGGGTCCCAGCCAGCGTCTCCTGCTGCCCCATGGAGCCCGAGGCTGACCCTCGCTCAGCACATGAAGACGGTGGTCAGCATGCTAAGTAGTGGAGGTCCAGGGAGAGTCCTGGGTACACAGTATAAAGTGTCTTAGTGTTCCTGATCTTGAGGGGAGGGGAGGCATTGGAGTCCCATGCCTGTGTTTCTTCAGCTGTGTTTCTTTTAGTAGGAGAGGTAATGAGCGTCAGCATCTATGTTTATGAATGACCTGTAGCAGAGATTTATGGCTGCTTATTGGGGTCCAGAGCAAGAGATTCACTATTTAAACAGGTGGGGAAATCTTCCATCTTGTTTGTCACCTGGCACAAGACAAGGTGGCATTGGAAGAGGAATGTCCTGGGAAGTAGAAAGAACTCAGCAACAAACCTGATGGGGCAAGAACAAGGGAACCATCCCCACTAGGATGTCTACAACCAGGGAAAGGGCAAAAACTAGTTTGAGCGAGGATGTGTAGACTCTGGAACACGTGTGCTTTGCTGGTGGGAATTTCAATTAGTTTAGCTGCTATGGAAATAGTTGGGATTTCTTTATCCACAGACGATAATGACATCTTGACACACACACACACAACCTGGGTGGACCTTGCCGCCTTTATACTGAGTGGCATTAGCCAGACACAGCCACCCCGTATGTAGAAGAGATAAATGTATAGCGACAGAAAGGGCTGAGGGCTTACTCTGAGCTAGAGCAGGGGTGGAAAGCTGCCACTGCATGTGGACAGAGTTTCTGTGTGGGTCATGAAAATCTTTGGAGTATCAACTTGTTGGAATGTAATTCCTGCCACTGATGTTGACACCGTAACACGGTTTTGGTGGAAAAGGTTTTGTTACCCGTATTTCACTGAGATGTAATCAAATGTAGAGAAAAGCATAAACATGCAGACTGTCTAAGGCCTTCTCCTTGTCAGTCTGGGTAGTGCTATTTTAAAAGGCATATGCCTGGATTTTCTTGGCTTGCTCAGGAATGTAGGAGAAATGAAACCTTAGTGCATGAAGCCCCTACTCACAGTCTCTTTTTCCCCCCAAAACATGAGTTGTGCTTTTTCTCCCTGGGAGAGACCGTGTCGGTGGGGGATCCTAGGCAAAGTAAGACACAGCCCTTCTTAGAGCCTCCCCCTGAAGCAGGACACACAAGAGGAGGGCGCCAGATGCCCCAAGACTATAAAGCCCAATGAAAGAGGGTGTGTGTGAGCTGGTGGGGCTCCAGATGGGAGCTGCCCACAGTCAAGCCCAATCCAAGTGACTTGGAGCTTTGGGAAGAGTGCAAGATCTCGTGTGGAGTTCATCATGAGGAAGCTGTGGGAGACTGGTATTAAGATAGTGACTTAGATGTGAGAGAAAATTCTAGATGGAGAACTGTTCTTCCTGGGGACTCTGGGGTCATGGAGAAGCCAGAAAGAAAGGCCCACCTGGGGCAGGTCTGTGGGGTCTCCTGCATTTGTGTCCTGCTGTGGAAACCGGTGTTCCTACCCGCAAGGATTTCCTTAAATGTGAGCGCGGCCCCCCTCTACTGAGAGGAGGGGTTCACTAGGTGAAAACCTCAGTGCACTTTGTCCTACTGGAAACAAGGTTCAGGTGGCTAATGAAAAACTTCCTAAAAGGAAAGGTGCTGGGAGTCTGGGACCCCCAATAATCTTAGAACTACCTGCCATTGTACTGAGATCCAGGATGGACCAGGCACTGTGCCAGGCGTGTCCTGTAGTCCCCTTACGTCTCACCAGTCCCCAAGCACAGGGCTGAGCAGACCCCTTCTATGGCTGAATGAACCCTGTGGCTGTAGGGCTTGGTGATTTCCCCAAATCACCACGTAGGTAAGTGCCAGGTAGTAGCAAGCACAACGTGGGCATGATGCCTATCTTCCTGGTTCCTGCCCAATCCCTAGGCTCCTGAGGAGAAGACTCTGCCTAGCCCTGTTTGTTTTGCTCCTGCAGGTTCCTGAAACACAGTGCCTTGCCCTGCTCTTCCCTCCTGGACTCCTGCTCTGATTTTGGAAGTCCTGCCCAGGGGTGGCTCAGGATGAAGGACTTGAGGACTCCGTCCCAAAGGGAGCCACAGCCTGGGTGGACTGGCGGCCATCTCCCTATAGAAACTTCCAGGACAGTGCTGATGCAGACAGATGGGGAAGAATGAGTAGCTTCTTAGTTTCCTGGGTTCTTGCAGAGTGTCTTGGTGCGGGAGCACTTTGGGGGGTGGAAGCCCACTAGGAAAGCCTGTGTAGTGCCTGGGACCCCTGGGAGCAGGGACAGAAGCAGCCACTATGCAGGGACCTTAGAGGACCCCTTGGAAGGAGTTACTAGGAATGCTGAGACTTTTTCTCCAGGACAGGTGGTCACTTTGCTTCGCTTCGGTATACCCAGTGCATGTCCCAGGGCCCGGCAGACAGACAGTGGGCACTCAGGAAATGTTCTTTGAGTGGATTCTAATGGACGATTTCTAAGAACTTTAGTCCATATCCCGCTGGAGAAGCCCCCTGAGCAGCTATGGTGGGCAGAGCTGAATCCCTCATGTTGTCCAGCCCCCTACATCTCCTTCTTGACCTCTCCAAGTCTCCCTGAGACAAGCACCTTGGGATGAAAGTTAATCCCAAGACCTGGCCAGTTTTGCAGTCTGTGTACTGTAAACAGACCACCCATAAGATCTCTGTATGTTAATCCCTCTGTGCAGTCTAACTGGTGTTACCCACATAAAAGGTGGTCTTTCCCTCTGTGAGGGGCCGGAATCACAGTCCTGAAGAATCAGGCATGTGTGACATCCCATGATACATTTTGTCTTGTCCTATCAGAGGCAATACAATAGTGGCGGCATCCACCTTGAAGAAATGTTATGTGTGCACCGGATTATCATGTGAAATTTGTTGCTGTTGTTAAGTGCCATGGAGGTGCTTGTGATCCATAGAGATCCTGTATAGGGTTTCTGAGGAAAGGCTGGTTATCTCAATGTGCCATTTCCCAGAAGACCCCCCCCCCCCACCTATCCCTATGAATAAACATGATCACTTGTCCCTAAGCAAAAGTGTTTTCAACCCCAGGGAAGCCTTTGTTGGGGGAGATAGGTGCTAAGTGCTTCTCTGGAAAGCCTGCCTTGCCTACCCCATGTTAATCAGGTGAAGCCCTGAGCCCTGTCCTGCAGGCCTGAGGTGTGATCAGCACTGCCACTAACAATGGAACTGTGTTCCTTCAGCACATGCTGGTGTTTGGACATACAGATATGAGATGACAGAGCAGAGGTGTGTGCTGGGAGAGCAGCTGCTTCCCTCAGGGAGAGAAGATGACCCAGATGCCACTCTGGGTGCACAGACATCCCATGTTAAACCGCCCAGTGCCAACCGTGAACCATAGGTTGTAGAGGACAAACGTCAGGTGGGTGAAGGTCAAGGTCCAGAGCCTGTCAGGGCGAGACCACAGCGACACAGGGTGTGTGGTGGCGTCTCTGTAGGTGTCTTTGCTGAGGACAGGCAGGAGTACAGATGCCTCCTTGTCCTCTGTCTGCTCAGCGACAGAAAAGATGTGGCCGGCCCAGTCGCCTCTGTGCCAGTCTGCCATGTGCTGTGGATGAGGCCTGGGTCTCTGTATGGGACTTTGCTCACCCTGCCTGTGGCCTTTCTACAACAGGGTCTGGCTCCAGCTTTGGGCCTCTACACCTCCCCTTGATTCTTCACAGTGTTTGAAAACACAACCCTCCTTTCTACAGCACATCAGAGTCCCTGGGTCCTTGAGGAGGAGTTCTGAACATCCTGCGCCGGTGACTTCTGTCTGCTTCTAACTGGAGCCAGTGGCTCCCAGAGGACCCAGGCTTAAGTTAGTCATGGCGTTCTGAAATGGACAGGTGTGGGAAATGCTGACAGGTGCCTGTCTGTCTGGGTAGGCCTCTCTGAGGTCACTTGGTAGGTGTGCCATGACATCACTCCCAAGCAACCTTTGCACCTTTGTGATGCCCGGGTCCGCATGGTGCTTACATAGCTGATGGTTGCAAAGCACTCTCGTGGGCAGGAGGAAAGGCCAGACTTCAGTTTGCATGGATAGTTGCAAGCTAAGCAGCCCCCAAGTTGGGGAGCCTGCTCCTCGGAAGTGGCTGTATCTCCTGCAAGAGATTGAGCCCCAGGAACCGATGCCAGGGCCCTGCTACCCTCGCAGTGCCC